CTATCAAACGATAGTGATTCTGAGCCATTTAATGCTATGCTTAAAGGGTTACAATATTTTTGTTTGTTATGAAATCTTATCACATGCGTCTTTTCTGTATTAAGATAGAGATCATTAGAATTGTACCAATTTTTTAAAGTCTGCAGAACTTCGTTGGATTTACGTTCTAACTGTACATCTTTATCCGAGATTAATAACGACTGATCATCTGCATACATAGTGAATTTTGCATCAGTGATAAGAGAATCCAGTACATTTGTGTAAAGCAAAAGGAGCACTGGACCCAATACAGTGCCTTGAGGCACACCCACATCTATACCTCGATATTCTGAGTTTACTATCTGCATCCACGTGTTATCAACATGCCTTAAACTAACAAATTGCAAACGATGACTTAGAAAGGATTTTATCCAGTCCAATGCTGTCCCTCGTATACCATATGAATTAAGTTTATCTAGTAGCTTGTTATGATTGACGCAGTCAAATGCCCTGCTGAGATCACAAAAGATCCCAACAGGGCATTCACCCGCACCCAAGGACTCCAAAACCCTTGTGTAGAAATTATGTACTGCTATTTGCGTAGACATATTGGCCCTAAATCCATGTTGATTTTTTGTAAATAAATTATGTTTAGCGACAAATGTTAGGATGCGCTCTAGAAAACAGTACTTAAAAATTTAATAACATACCTGATGTTACAACAACTGCACAAAATTTTATCCATCGATGTGTAACACATTGGGCCCATCTTACCCAGTTTCTACGAACTAACACAAATGTTGACTTGCTTCACCATAACACAAATGCTTCACAGTAACACAAATGTTGTCTTGTTTCATCATTCCAAGATATCCATCAATTCCGAGTTGCTAAGCACATAAGCTAATTTTGGCACTCGAAAAAGTAATGTAAACACTATCGGCATAACCTTAATACTAAAATAGGATTTCTGTATTCGGAATCGCTTGGGGCCATGCGGAGAAAGAGCGCATTGCGTACAGCGAACAACGCGAATGACGCTATAGACTACAATAGCCCAGCAATGCAAGGGTTGTAAATTTCAATAATTTTTTTTCTCGGAAACTATAAGGTTTACAAAATTTTTTTACGATATTGACTCCTTTTTTCATGATGCATCATTCCCAATTTTTGGATTGTGGATCACGCTGTATTATATATGTACCTTCAATTAAATTTGTGTCATTTGAGTTCATCAACTGAAATGAGACAAACTAAATTTGGATCATTAATTGAAAGTAAAAATTAAGATACAGATATACAGTTCTCCTTGAGAAAAAAATGACGTCGAGAATTATTGCCAAAAATAATTAACAAGTCCGCCTAAAAAATGTATCAAACAGTCGCCCGAAACCGGAAATACCTTGAAGGTACCACTACCTCGGCTGAAAATACACCACAGACGTCGCATCTGCCCATATTTCTGAATATTGGGACGGCAGGTGCTCCAATCGCGATTATATTATTAAATAAAAATAAATAACGCTATTACGTAACAACTTTTAGTTTTATTCCTTTTAAGACAGTTACGTCCAATTAATAACTGTTTCGAAATAAGGCTGGGACTCGCTGTTATCTTCTCTTAATTAGTTGCATCCTTTAATTGCTAATTTTTATTTTTATTCTGTTTATCCTGTTCTTTAAATTCCTCGGACGGATTATACCGGTCACCGTGTTTTAACACCTTAATCGTACCTTCTGAGATAAATACTATGAAAGAATAATAATAAAACATCTGGTGACCATTCAGAAACAGGAATTGCTTACTGGAATTTGATAATACGGCTACCTTTATTTAGAACGTCATTTTTATGACGCATATTCGTAGATTTTGAATTTGTGTTAAATCATTTATAGGTACAAGAATGCTATTGGATTGCACCTAGTTGTTCCTCTGAAGCATCTGAAACGAATAACAGTGTCTGGATGGCGTACATGCCAATAAATGAATATTTAATTATACATTCCAAATAGTTAATTTGAAATGTAAAAAGAATAGGACCTAGAACGGATCCCCGTGGAACTCCTATATCTGCTTTACACTTGAGATATTTCAGAAATTAAAACTACATTACGAATGTCATATACGGTATATTGTTTAGAATTAAATAGCGACATTATTTTAAGTACGATAGTTAACGTTTAAACTTTAACAATTTAAAATGTCGACATGTATCTAGAACCTTAGGTGTGTGTAGAGGACAATAAATAAATACTAACGCTTTCAAAATCTCTTGAAAACTTATTTGTACCGAATATGCAGTATGTTCAGCTAGAGAAGAACAAAATTCTTTCTATAGTCCAGTTAAATAAGCCTTTAAATCGAAATTTTGGTCAACTTGCCTGAATTTTTGATATGAGTTAGTTTGAAGTATGTTATAACAATAAGTGACAGTAATTTTTTGTTCAACTCCCGGCTAAGGGTGAAAAAAGATAAAACAAAGTTGTTTTTAAAGATAACTCAAAACGGGTAAGGGCTAGAAAAAAAAGTTTCGTATAGAAGTTGTAAAGCATACAATTCTACATAAAAATGACCTCTCTACTTTTTCTTGTGTTATTAAAATTAACACAGTTAGGGAGGCTATAAGTTAAGGGAAGATTTCAGAAATTCAAAAAAATCATAACAAGCAGAAAAACGAATGAATTTTGTAATTTTTTTTTCGATCTACTCTAAAAAAATTAACATTTCTTTTCAGAGAAATAGATATATTTTTTAATTTTTAATAAGAAAGTTATAACAATTTCAAATTTGTTGTTCACCCCCCTAAACAGAGATTTTAACGAAAACCTCGAAACAGGTCAATTTAATTTTGTCAATTTGTTTACATAAATCATATTTTTAATTCTTTTTGAGTAAATATGATTTTTTTATAAATAAAAAATATAGTTTTTCTGAAATAAAAAATAAGGGTAGCAACCCCCAAACACGGAATCACTTGCGAAATATTTGTTTTTTATCATAAGTAATTTCCATTTTGTTTCATTTCAAAATATTGATTAGAACCCCAGAAATTTTGAAAAAACTGTTTTGGGGGGCGAACTTTGAGGGTGTATTTCACCCCGTAAATATGTTTTTCCGCCGATAAAAAAAATACGTGTCTCTTTACATTTTTTAGAGTAGATTTAAAAAAAAAATACAAAATTCATTCGTTTTTCTGCTTGTTATGATTTTTTTAAATTTCTGAAATCTTCCCTTAACTTCTAGCCTCCCTAACTCTGTTAATTTTAATAGTACAAGAAAAAGTCAAGATGCCATTTTTATGTAGAATTGTATGCTTTACAACTTTTATAAGAAACTTTTTTTTCTAGCCCTTGCCCCTTTTGAGTTATCTTGAAAAAGTCCTTTGTTTTATCTTTTTTCACCCTTGGCCGGGGGTTGAACAAAAAATTACTGTCACTTATTGCTATAATATACCTCAAACTAACTCATCAAAAATTCAGGCAAGTTGACCAAAATTTCGATTTAAAGGCTTATTAAATTGGACTACCAGTCCAAAAGCTTTGTGTAATTTAACGTCTGACATCAATTTTACATACTAAAATAGAGTGTTTCTCAATTAATATAATGTAGCGCACAACTTCGCATTTTTTAGTAAAACGATCGGGGAAATAAATCATCACCTAATTAAAACAGTAATAGATTATAATCGCTACATTCCATACAGTAATCTAGTGTTACCAATTCGTCCAATTAGTTTTTAGGCAAAATCTACACGAAATGTGTTCAGAAGACTGGCCCCATATCATACACCAGATCAAAATGGTTTATAAAAGAAAAGACTTTTAAACAGTTTGTAATTTGTTTAGTTCGGCCTGTTTGTAAAGGGACCTTTTATCTACTCGTGAAAAATGCCAAGGCGCTATAATGAGGAGGCAGATTTCATCATGGGCTACTTTCAGTATTGGAAAATCGTTGAGCTATGTTTCTAAATTGATGGGCCCATTAAAAAGTATATCTGAAAATCATTCTTATTAAAAATGCAGCGCACCTTATTAACGTGGATCTTATTTGTTCGTGATAAATACCTTGATTATTCTCAAGTTAACTTTAATAAATGCATGTGAAATGAATATTTTAATTTTAATTCAATATACAGGGTGCAACTTTTTAGGGTTTCTCATATTTTTAAGGAAATATAGTTAAGATGTCCCAGACTCGATTTTCAAGAAAATTTCTTAATATTTTTATGCATTTAAGAGAGTTTCTTTCATTCTTGACTGGATTTGATTCTTAATTTTTTTTTAAAGCTAAATCCAGTGACCAATATTTTTCTATAATTTTTGGATTTATCTCCTTAAAGGAACAAAAAAAGTTCATATAAACATAGTTTTGCTGTTTGTAATTTTCCAGATTTATGGTAAATTTGGCGTTTTAAGTTTCTATCATATTAGAAATTTTTGAAAAATTTATTCTTAAAAATATTAAGAATAATACAGAGTAAATTATTCTATAACATCAGTTGTAATGTAACACACTCGTCCAGAAGATCAGGGAAACCCCAGAATGAAAGGAAGTGCAGAACTATTATAAACCTAAGCTAAAAGAAAAGTTTCCAGATCAGTTATATCTAATAATCTAATAATCAAATCATACCTCTCTGAAAAAATTCTGTCAAGTTAGAATTAACTCCTCATATCAAATTATATAATCAGGAGTACCACAAGGTAGTACGTTGGGACCACATTTTTACTTATTATATACCGCAGATGTTTGACTTACTGATTAAACTTACACCGCAGATGACATGGCTCAGCAACCCCCAAAAAAGATATAACGGTCTCTAATAATCTGCATAATCATATAAATCTTTTGGAGCTCTGAATGAACAAATGTGGAATAAAGCCCTGGAATCCACAACTTTGAAGCCTAAATGCTGGTTCCGATATGTTGACGACACCTTCATCATCTGGGCCCACGGAAGCAAAACCGTAGCGGATTTCCTGGATATATCAATGGGATACATCCAGATATCCAGTTTACCATGGAAGTAGAGAAAAACGCCGCTCTTCCCTTCTTGGATGTTTTGGTGGAGAGGAAACCAGATGACACTTTAGGACATCGAGTATATAGGAAGCCAACTCACACAGACAGGTATCTGAATGCACAGTCCCAACAACACCCAGCCCAAAAACAGGGGATCATAAATACCTTGATTCATCGAGCGCGGATCATCAGCGAGCCAAGACACCTGGCCGAAGAACTAGAACACCTACGCACGGCCTTGAGAGGGAATGGCTACAGGGCGAGAAATATAGAACGAGCTAACAGAAGGAGACATACACCCATTGAGAGACAGGAGTACTTAGCGACGACGTATCTACCTTACGTGAAAGGTTGTAAAGATAAAATCGGGCGTCTTTTTAAGAAGAGGAATATCAACACAGTATTCCGTACTGTAAGGAAGGTGGCGGCAGCGTCTCCAAAGACCTGCAACAACGACCAGCTCCAGGGCCCCGGTGTGTACAGTATTCCTTGCTCTTGCGGAAAGGTCTACATAGGACAAACAGGAAGGCACATCAACACGAGGTTAAAGGAAAACAAAAGTCACCTCAAAAATAACAACACAGTGAATCTGAGTGAAGCCAACATGGTGGTGAGAGAGAGAAGATTTGGGCCCCGACTATACAGAGAAGCTTTAGAAATTTACAGAAATCCGAACAACTTCAACAGAGATAGTGGCGTGGATCTGCCAGGTATATGGAAGAGAGTAATTCGTGAAAGCTCGAACATCAACAACGCGTACGAGGTCACCCACCGGAACATCATGGACCAGTGACCACGTCAAATATAAATAGTGACAGAACTAGTAGATCTCCAGTTTCAGAGTAACTTCTGAAGAAGAGAGCGATATGTCTCTGGAAACGTCAAGTGTTATAAACCGACAATGTGGCACCACCATTAGCAAACAGTTCCACAACTAATGTCATCTGATCTTCAACCCAATTACTATTACTCTACCTTTATACATTGAGTATATTACATATAAAAATAAATAGAAGATACTTCCTGTAATGAACAATTTTTTATTAAAGTAAAGCTCTACTGATTTTACCTTTGGTTGCCGTATGAGCATTGTTATCTGGGACATCCTGTATATTATAAGTTATTTGCAAATATTCAATCTAATAGTATGTTGAGAAATGAGGAAATTTAAAACAGTAGCTTTACTACAGTTGTTACTACCACACACTGAAAAATTGGTTCTAAAACAATTATTATTTATTGCAATTGGAAAGCAAACCTCTTTAAGTGCTACATTGTATTTATAAAAAGTGATATTTATGACATAATTTCTTGGATAATTAACTCCCCGATGATTCTATTTTGGGAAATTTTCACTTCACTTTTACTCAAGATAAGTTTAATTAAAAATAATTGGCCAAATAAAAGTGTAGGTACTATTAAATATTCCACGCCAATCTCCAAAAAGACAAAAAGTAAATTGATCTTCTGCGGTCCTTTCTCCCACGAATAAATTGAAAAAATGGGCCGCTACCAAATAAAGTAAGTATATCCGCAACATTTAAATGTGCCCAAATCAATTAAAGTTTTATCGATTTGTTCGGCTGAGGTGCTATCATTAATATCGGAATGCGCGCGTCCATCAAAGCCAACATTAAAATATCTGGAGTGTCGATCAGGCTCGGAGCCGAGATAAACTACTACGGCAAGGTCCAGTAAGACCTCTTTCAGTGGCAGTTAGCACAAACTGTAATTAGAAATGCATCTAGTTTTGTACATCGTCAACTAAGACAGAGGTATTTTCTCTCATTGAGTAAATGTCACAGCATTCCAAAGTAATAGAAGAAAATAAACGGGGATTATTAAATCTTTGCAAAATCGTAAAGGTAGGTTAGTTGCTATGTAAAATCTGTACAATTTCAGGGTATTTTAAGCACATACATTTTTTTTGGATCCTACATAGTCCTCAACAACAAGCGGTCGATGTTGCAAAAAATGCAACTCATTGTGAATTTTCAGTGCATAAGTTGATAGTGGTTTTATTGGATTCAAAATGTATTTCTTTTAATAAACAAAGTACACTCCGTACAGTGTTTGTTTAGATAGAATTCCAAGAAAGGAATAAGCCAACAAATTTCTGTTATTGGAATTACTGTAACAATTTACTTCCGCAGGGGTTTGCCTTGAAATTTGCCGTCAATGTTTTTCTACCTCGGGTGTCTAATGCGGTTAATCCCAAGAAAGTGATGCAGGGGTCTTCTTGGAATTCTATCTCAACAAATATCGTACGACCTGATTAGAAATATATTCTCCTTTACTGTTTGCTATTGTCTCCCAACGATCTGACAGGTATTCTATTTCACGCTAGAAGAAATCTGGTGGTTTAAAAGTGAAATAATCACCATACCTGTTTTGAAGTGCGACGTCATCATTAAAGGAGATTCCTGGCATAGTTGTTCCATAGAAAACGTAAAAGATGGTAATCTGATAGAGTAAAACCAGAAGAATAGGGTGACTGCGGAATAGTACATTTCCCGAATGTTAGTACCGACTGTCACCGCTTTGTTAGTGGTGAATTTTAGTAAATAAACGGGAGTATATCTGTTGTCTGTGGTTGTCTTGTCAATACCCCTGGTTTATACTTTCCTCCACTACAATTACCCGGACGGCGACTTTTTGTGTGACTTCCGAGTTCACACGCAGAAAGTTTGTGACAATGTAAAGGTGTCATTTTTGTACCAATAATAATCTGATACGAAAAAACCGTCAGTTGACGAAATAAATGATGTCGAGGTAGCAAACAGGCGAAGATGTTGACACGCTGATTTGTGTTTTTGCTCGAAACACGCGGCAACCATATAGCCAATTTTTTAACTTTGCCTATGTAACACAAATGTATTGCGGTCGACTTGTCACAATCCATCATACTGATCTATATCTAGATTGATGGAAAGCGTTCAAAGAATCTTCATTATCCGGATGGTCTTCCTGAAAGTGAAAAATACTTCATGTTAAAATGGCCTCATTTCAGACTAGAGAACAATTCTCCACACTGTACTTCACCCAAGGTGTTTTCAAAACATATCAAGAAAAAATTATACAATTCGCCACCAGGCAAGCTTCCACACATTAAAAATGAACGCATTTATAATTAATGAAATGAAATGAATATATTTACATTTCTGCAAACATCCTGAAATATATTTCAAAAAAGTGTGCACATTTAAACCATTTTACTATATTTAATGTAAAAAATATATGTAGGGTTACATCAATTTTGCCGAAAATTAAGAATCGCCTTATAATTCGAAAACAATAAAACAGCAAAAGACACCACTCTGTATATATTTCCACCACATACACCTAGAATCACACCAACAGCCACACCAACTGCATTTGTTTACAACAATAATAATTTTTTCCAATTTTCCCTTTCTTGCTTTCGAAAACCATATATTGATTTACTGGCTCTACACACAAGGTAACTGAGAAAACTTTGTAGTTGGCACGCTAAGTTCCCTTATAGTGCACTTGAACATACAACAGGGTCTTATACAGAATAGCCGAAGTTCAGAAGCTCATCATTTTCCTCCCTATTGTCATCCCCGTAATCGTGGAATGCCCTATTCTTCGACGCAGAAAGGTCTAACCTCGGATCTAACCTACACGACGACAACAAATCACTCCGATCGGACCAGACCTGCGCCCAGAGGTCGCGAATGACATTTATTACAGTTTCAAAATTTATACGATAATGTCTAATTTTGACTTTTAGTATTGTTTAAAACTGTGATATTTAATTAATGCTATCTAATTTTGATTCAAAATACAGTGAAGATCTTTAAAGATGAGAATTTTGCAATAGTAATAAAAGAACAATGTAATTTTATTATATTTATAAATCTAAAAAATATGTATATAGTTTTCCTGATGTACGATCGTCGAACGATATCTAAGAAAGTACTGATTCGAAAAATTTGAAAATTTGGCAACACGGCAATCTCCCTGAGGCGAACACAACTAAAATATCTAGAACTCTCCAGCACTTCCGGTTATAACGGAAATTTAAACCAACTTCGTTATTTTAATAGATTTCAAGACATAAATTTGTTCCAGGAAATTAATATCAAGCTTTTCGATATTCGTAAAGAACTTAAACAATGCTAACTTATGATATGTATATCTTTAAATTCAAAAAAAATATATTATACCAAGCGTTTCATTTCCGCTGCTACATTTTAGCAAAGTAAAATAGCTATAACTTTCTTAACTTAAATGGAACACCCTGTACTTTATTGCTCTGTCTTGTACACATCGAAATTCTCTTTCAAGCCATATAAGCATTGTTAGGGTTGCGATCACTACTTTTGAAGATATTTACAAGTTTCTACTATTTTGGCAGTTTTCATCATATCTGGAGTGTTATCAAACCTGCCTTTGACATGAAAATGTTAAAAATATCAAAAGTCGCTTGGCTTGTGTACAATATTGTTATGTGTCGTGTCACAACTATAATTCTAATAATGCCTGTGCGTTTAAATTACTCAAACGAAGATTATTATTTTAAATTACACAAAGCGAAACTAAAATCTTCCGTAAAATCCGAAAATACAATAATGTACAAGGTGTCCCATTTAAAATAACGAAATTGTTGTCGACGTCCGGTATAACCGGAAGTGCTGGAAAGTTCTAGATATTTTAGTTGTGTTCGCCCTAGGGACATTGCCATGTTGCCAAATTTTCAAATTTTCCGAATCAGTACTTTCCTAAATATGGATCGATGCAGTTCCTGGTGGGACATCCTGTATAGGTATTACATATCATGAGTTTAATACAAACAGGGTTTCAGTATCTCAATATTTCATGAACATGAAAGTACCACAAATTCTATAAGTCAATTTATGCACACATACAGTGTGTCCCAGAAGTAACGCAAAAAATTCGTATTTTATTTTGTGTTGCGTTTTCACAAAAAGCTAAAACACGTCAATTAGTAAATAAGAATTGTCATTTTGTCACGTTGCTTAAACCTTTTTTGCGCTATGTTTCATAAACCTATGACGTCATCGACATTTTTTTAAATAGCACTACCTAATTTTTTAAGCACAAATGAATAGTCCTTTTGAAGGGAAATACGTCGATATAGGGTTTGGCCTACTTTACTTTAACAGGAGCGAAAAAGAAGCCAATGACTGGAATGGAAATGGTTTAAAATAACAACAAATGTAGGTATCATAAACTGATGCGAGAACAGTGCCACAGTAAAAAATGGAAATTTGGGGATGTTTTGTGTTTTGGTTGATTGTAGGTGCGTTTTTATGTATTGATATGTTGGCGTTTTCGGCGATACGACGAATGGCAATGTGTGGATTTTCAGTGACAGCTAAACATAACATTTTGCCTATCATTTTCTGTCACTGTCGTTGGCCTTGTAGATCTAGACAGATTTCTAACATGGCCAGCGTCTTCAAATTTGGATACTAATCTGCATACTGTACACGGAGGTATTGGTTGTTCTGGATACTATCCTATCTCCGTATCCAACCATAATTATGATTTCAGTTCTTTGTTTCTCATTTAAACACAACACCATCGTAATGTAAAGTTATGGTATTTGTAACTGTCACAATGATATGAGGCACTATTGCATTCGCTAACTGTCGTCTTCAGAACAATGCCTACATTAGCCACTGATCGGGTGTACCTACCCAATCTACATAAAAACATGTGCCTACAATCAACCAAAACAGATTTTTTGCTATATCACTGTTCGCGCATAAGTTTGTGATACCTATTTTTGTTATTAATTCAAAC